ATCTTTCATACCAGGGCAGGAACTGAGGACTGGGAGGAAGGAGCCATGTCACCGATGACTTTCACAGGTGCTGTTGCCACTGCCCTGTGGCTGCCTCTCATTCTAACCTGACTGGCCTCAGTCCAGAGAGCACATCAATCTCATAATAAAGAGAGGAGCAGAGACAGGAGAGGAAATTCCTAGGCTGCAGTTAGAGAAGGAGCATCCAGTCAGTCAACAGTGTGGAAAGATGCAGGATGGAGAAAAGCATTAACAGAAACCTGGCATTGTCTGAGGGAAACCCCTCATAGCTTTCTCATGGATTTTTTGGAAATAAAGGTAAATTATCCATTTAAAAATTTTAGAAAGAACACTAATAGTGGAAATTATTGACACAAACTACAACAGTGGAAAGTCATAGGGTACAGTCTACCAAAAAAAGAGAAATCAGAAAACCAAAAACTTGTATTTCAGAAACTCCAGAACTCAATGATGATAACTACAGTTGATAGAAATAATAAACAGAGCAGATAGACGAGGCCTGAAACTGCACTTGCTACCATTTCCCTTGACTAGTAAGAATCAACAGATTAAAACCCTGATGAAACTTAGATAGAAAACCTTGAGCTAAGAAATCTGAACCTGAAGAGCAAAGGAAAACTCTCTATGGCAGAAGGCCTAATTGGCAAAATTGATATCAAAGAACTGACCAACAAATCAGTTTTCTAGTGTAAAAGTTGCACAGAAAGGAATCCAACTTGGTGAAAAAAATTAAGGATCTTCTGAAAACAGTGTAAACAAAGTCGACAAGGTATTTATTTGATGGCATTAACTCTGGATTATACTTTGGCAGTGAAAATACCATCAACACTGATGTATTTATAATAGAAATATTTACATTAATTTCCATTGCCCCCAAACGCAAAGTCTTAGGCCCCAAATAAAAGGGTGGGTAGAAAGTGGAGGAAGGGGTGGGAGACACCTTTGCTTCATTGGGAAAGGAAATCAATGTGTATTGAGAACCTAATATGTGTCACATGGTGTCAGGTTCCCACTTTGTCTGTCTCTGTCTGTCTCCTCTTCGCTCCTTTCCTCCTCACAATAATTTTCTAACTTGGAAATAATATCATATTCTTAAAGCTAAAGAATAAGACTTTATTCTTCACCTCCAAGAAGTGAAGCCTGGATGAAGGCTAGCCTGCTTGCTGACTACCATCACTGGGAACAGCATGGAGTGTCACACAGTAAGTGCACAGAAGCTATTTCTTGAATGAGTGACCTTGACCTTCTAAGATCTGGGGGTGTGGTTTGTTGCAGAATGTTGGTCCCTTGAAGTCCTAGGGGCTTCCCAGTTATGGTCCTGACTGAAGAACTGCCTCTCTTCTCAAGAGTGTTTCACAAGTTAATACCCATTTTATACCATTCAGCTAAGTAGTACTTTACAAAGTAAATTGGTCCTTCGGAGCATATATTTAGGACTCCAGAGTCTAAAATCAAGTACAGCTGAATGCTTCCCTCACAAGTTTTCTTGGAAAGGTAGTCATTTAATCTATGGCTGTCAATCATAAAAATAATAGCTATTTTACTTGTGAGTGTGGGCTATGGAACTAACATTTTTCATAATGATAAGGTGACAGATATTTATAGAGATGTTTGCAAATACAAAATGTTTATGAATAGTGAATTATAGCAACATCAGTTTTTTAAAAATATAAACATTTAATTGATATAATTACAGGGCTCAGCTAATCTGAAGTTGTTTGCCTATAGCCTAGTCAATTTTATTGCTTAGTGTATTTCATGGCTAGCCCATAAGGGTTTTAATTATTAGTAAGGTCTCAGCTTTTAAGATCAAGTGATTTTTAAAATGTAGGGAATATTTCCTGCTACTACTCCATCTAAAACTAGAGAACTTTAATCTTTAAAGTTAGTTAAAGTTGCCCCAAACAATAAACAATTGTGCCTTGCAGAAAGAGTAGATGTTAAATGATCAATGATTGTTCAAATGTCAGCTGCTGACTGTGGTTGTCAACTTGCTGTGAAGAGAGGCAGAGTGACTGGGAGCATGACCTTCCACACCAGATAAGATCTTGAGTTTTAGGATCTACTCTGTACTAATCAGCCTTGGGTAAGTAGCAACATCTTGCTGGACCTTAACATGATAAACTGAAAACTCATGTAACAATAGTACTTTATTAATTTCCTAGGGCTTTGGTAACAAAGTACCACATGCCCGTGTCCACTTTTTTCTTTTTAAAAGGACACCAGTCCTTTTGGATTAAGAGTTGCCCTTTTTCAGGATGACCTCATCCTAACCAATTATGTCTGCACAGGCCTAATTTCCAAATAAGGTCACATTATGAAGTCCTAGAGGTCAGGATTCAGACAGATGGATTGGGGGAGGGGTGCACAATTCAACCCATAATAAGGACCGATTCATATGACTGACTGAAGATCAAATGAGACACAGTCAGCCATTAACAAGGACTTACTTCCTATGATTGATTGGAAAATCAAATGTGATTGAGACTTAAAACTACTTAGCATTGGGTCTGACATGACTTCCAGGTAATCTCTGTTTGAAGGAGTTTCTTACACTTATTGTCTGAATTATGGCACATGTTAGTTCTGTTAGAAGCTGCCAGCTACTAGGAGATATGTCCCTTAAAGATAACATGCCAGATAACTCATAAACTCCTGTGTCAAATGAAGAAGCCTGGGACAGCCACAGTGGTTGTCAGAGAAGGTCTAGCAGTGTGACAGAAATGGGAATGGCTTTATTACTGCATCTCAGCCGGAGAGACAGAATGAAGAGCATTTCATAGGCACAGAGGCCCTCTTCCAAGTTCTCTTAAAAATAAAAACAACAGAAAAAAAAGCTATTACTGTTGATTCTTGATGAAGCTTTTTGGAAAACAACTAAGACCATGAGTGGTGTCTGGTTGCTAGGGTTCTGAATTTTTAAAAAGCCAGTTTCTGTGAGACACGCAAAAACACATAAAGAAGGTCCTTTCTAGGTCAAGGGAAACGTGTTCCTTAGAGAACCAAGAAATCACTAGAGATGAAGGTTGCTGAAATGCTGGGTTTTTACGTTACTGAGACGATAAGAAGCACACTGGAAGCACAGCCCTAGGGCCAGGGATGTTGTCTGTAACCCACAGTGAGGGTGCGTGGTGTGGAGTCATGCCAGGAGAAACCGCATTTGAGGGGCTCTGCAGACCAGGGTAGAAGTCAAACGCGACCCACCGAAGAGTGCCCTAAGGAGGATCACTGGGTACCGAGGGAAGTGGATGTGCTGCTCTAGGCTGAGGCCAAGCCTGGGGAGAAGCAGAGGCAGGAATGGGTGTGGCCTATACATGCAGATATTGTGGGCATGGCCCTGGGGCCCAGTGGGGCAGCAATGACCTCTTGTAGTGTATGCTGTCATTTTTCTTAATATAGTCTATTGAAAAAGAGTAGTTGGGTGTTTAAAAATTCAGCACCGCTCAATAATTTGGCTCTTTTTTTCTTTTTTTGAGTCAGAGTCTCACTCTGTAGCCCAGGCTAGAGTGCGATGGTATGCTCATGGCCACTGCAGCCTCAACCTGCTGGGTTCAGGCGATCCTTCTGCCTCAGTCTTCCAAGTAGCTGGAACTACAGGCAAGTGCCACCACACCCAGCTAATTTTTTGATTTATTGTTGAGATGAGGTCTTGCCATGGTGCTCAGGTTGGTCTCCAACCCCTGAGCTCAGGCAATCCTTTCACCTCCACCTCCCAAAGTGTGGGGATGACAGGTGTGAGCCACTGTCCCCAGAACATTTGACTCTTAAGCCTCTTAAGTACTGAGAGATGAGAAGTAACAGCAGGGGTGGAGTTTGAGTCTGCTCCCCCAGGGTTGGGACAGGGTACACCACACCCTGAGGAAGCTCCCAGTGAAGTGAGGTCTCTCTGCAGAGAATGCTCTCCCAGGGTGGGGACTCTCAGATTTAGTTTTATGTTAAAAACAGATGTGCCATTTTTAACATAAAAGTTCAACTTTCAATTCCTGCCCTTGAGGAAGGGGATGTGACAGAAGAATAAAATTTCTTATCCACGAATGACCTTTTTTCTCTGAGAAGCCTTTGTAAGAATCTTCACTTCTAACAAGAGAATATTTCAGTGCCATCGTTTAATGTTAGCAGAGTATTCGATATTGCTGAATCTCCACCCACAGATGTCAGGCGCCACCTAAGGTGTATGGATGATCACTCCACTTTCATTATTTAAAGCATAATGAAAGAACCAGAAATTCTAATACACTATACAGAATAGCTCTGAGATCAATGCTTTCAAGGTGCCAATAATCTAACCTTCAGAAAAATACAGCAGCTATGCCCAAATGACAGAAAACCGCCTTGCATATAAGCAGCAGCTGAAGCACGAGTAACTTACCACCTGCAAATCACTGTCCAGGTGAGAGCCCCCAGGCCGATGACTACCAGGGCTCCCAGCGCGATGGACACCCACGATGCCCTTGGGAGCCTGCCAGAGTCTGGGGCACAGAAGGAGACCGGGTTAGTGGAGCTTATCAGGGCCTGGGCAGGGTCAGGCTGTCCTTTCTGACTGTGGGCCACACCTTGTCCTGGGACAGCTGCCTCCATGCCACAGTGTATGGGGGAAGGGGGCTTACTTTTGCACCCGGAAAGGTCATTTGAAGTCCAGATCCAAGGGTGAGGTGCATGGGAGAGCCAGAGGGGAACATGGGGCAGGGTCATGTGGGGAGGAGTCTGTTCTCTCCAGAAGGCAGGCTTCACTGGGGGTGGAGGTGGGGGATTGAGGAGGGCTCTGCATGGGAAGTGTCCCCAAGGACAGGAAACTTCCCTTTCTGTCCAAGCTGGGGAGGGTTCTTAGCACCCTCTGAATGAGCCCATCCCAGAGATGGACCCTGGAAGGCCTCCAATATGGGAGGAATGTGGGCACAAGAAGTGGGATGTGACGAACAGACGCAATGTAACGTGATGAAGTTTTGCCCTTGGCTGCATTTTATTTCCCAGGGAAGCCTCACAAAGGTCAAGCTATGGTCAAGGGAAGGCCGTTTGAACCCTCACAGAGCTAGAGCCCGGGAAAACCACAGGCACAGCATGGCAGCAGGCTTCCGGGCTTGGCCTCATCTGCTCATTCCGGAAGGTGACATTAGACAAGACAGAGGAAGGAGGCTGCCCAAGACCTGGAGCCTGGGACCCGCAGTGTCTGGTGATGGGGCCCTTGGAAGTGACTTTTCCATGTTGGCTTGTGTCCTCATCCAAAAAAGATTAGGAGTGAAGAAATGGCTTCTGGGTCCCCACCCTCTAAGGCTTCCGTGAGGAGATGTAAGTTTGGGGCTAGTGTGGCTGTGGACTCTAAGTCCTTCTCCCTTTTCTGCCTGGGTGCCCATTCTTGGTGCACTGGGACAGTTGGTAGGCAAGTGGAACTTCAGGATGAAATGAAAACGGATTGTCAAATCAAACATTAAATACTACCAGTCAGTACAAAAGAAGCCAACCCACGAGGAGCCCACATAAGAAGCATCGTGCGTGGTGGGGAGAGGCTCTCAGGTGCTGGATGGAGACCATGGCTGGGAGAACAGGGTGTGCGGCCTCTGGCAGCTCAGCTTGGTTGGGCTCTATTTCTCATCATGGATGTTTTAGAAATAATAATGCTTCTACGGGGGACACCATTGCCATCTGTAGCCTGCGTAGAGCCAGCTCTTGAGACGGCAGGACCCAGGGTCTGGGTGGGCAGGCACAAGGGGGCAAAGAGCTGTCTTAGCCCAACCCAGTGTTCTTCCAGCTCCCCTGCCACCCCCCTCCATGGAGCACTTGCTCCTGCTCAGCTTCCTGAGCTCCACCCAACCCCTGTGAAGACTAACTCTGTAATTGCCTGGCCCACGCTCTACTCACAGGATGTCCTGGTGGTCCTGGGTGCCTGTGGCAGCACCTTCTGCTGCTCCCCAGGGTTCCAGGCCCTCCACCCACCCCAGCCCACTCCTGGTTTCACAGCAGTCCCCTTGTGCACCATCTAGACCACTCTCAGGGTCTGCCTGTGGCCTGTACGCCGAGATCCACACGTTTGTCTGTGGCTCCTATGCCCAGTCTCCTGCTGCCAGCCTCTCCCTCCTCCAGAAGCATTTCAAAGGGGGCTACTTGAGAGACCACCCCACTGCTCCCAGCCAGGTTCCTTTATTTCTGTTCTTGCACACATGAGGCCCCCACACTGCACCTGGGGCCACTCCAGAAACTGAAGCCCACCTATCAGTGCCCACCCCTCCCTGTGCCCAGATTCAGCGGTTCTGGCTCTGCCTACAGGCTCAGTGGGTCCCTTTACACCCTCTAAGGGGTCATCCTTGCATCCCTGTCACTACACATGAACGTCTGCCTGACTGAAGACTCCTCACCACTATGGCCCCACCTGGACCCCCACTCACCATCCCAGACCAGCTGCCAGTTGCCCGCTCTCCTGACTTGGTTAGGGTCACTTGTAGTCTGTGGCACAACATGCCATTTCTCACCAGGGCCCTGTTTGCAGGGGTGTTCCATTCGCAGACTAGACTGTCAGTCCCATGAATGAAGGGGTCTTGTCTGTATTGTCTTCCTAGCGTGGTTCTTGGACACACAGCAAATATTTGTGGAACATGTGCATAAATGAATAAATCCCAACAGCATCCTGAATGTTTCTCTAAAACGACCCTATCCTTTTCTCCTTTGCACCCTTGTGGTTCTTCCTCCTGGGCCATCTAACCATTTTCCCGTCTCCAGAGATCCCTTCACTCCAACTCTCTCACAGACACTGGAAAATCTGACCACACCAGCCTCTTGCTAAAAGCCTGCAGGGAACAGAGCTGCTTGCGGCCATCAGTCTCATGCATCCTCTTCCAGAAAGGGGTTGGGCTCATGTTTTCAATCAACTACTCATTCTCAATCCCTGTGGTCATGGTGGGGTCTCCACTTGTGCAGCCAGGAGGTGGGGGCAGGCTGACCAGTCTGGCCTGGATGGCAAGTGGTCTAGGTTAGCACAGGCCAGGCCAGGACTGTCAGGATAGTGCAGCCAGGGAAGTTCATTCTGGAGCTGGTGTTTGGTGTTTCAGGGTGGAAGATGCTCCCTTTGCTGCTGGATTTGATTCTGAGATCACTGGAGGTAGAGGTTTTTAAAGGCCACCTGGGAGCCTCATAAAGCAGCACTGCTGAAGACACGTGAGAAGAAGAGGGAGCCCAAGTCTTGCACAGCCTCTGTTCTAAGCACACCTCAAGCCAGTAAAAGACAGATCCACCCAACGGGGAAGTAAGCAACTTCAGGCAAATGTGTAAAAAAAAAGCCCAGGAGAAAACGAGGAAATGTTGCATAGGCATGCACTGTTTGTTTTCCTTTTTTTAAATTAGGGTCTCTCTCACTCTGTCACCTCAGGCTAGAGTGCAGTGGCATAATCATAACTCACCACAGCTTCACCCTCTTGAGCTCAGGCAATCCTTCTGCTTCAGCCTCCTGAGTAGCTGAAACTACAGGTATGTTCTATCACCCCTGGTTTATTTTTTGATATTTTGTAGAGACAAGGTCTCGCTATGTTGCCTAGGCTGGTCTTGAACCCTTGGCCTCAAGTGATCCTCTCTCCTCAGCCTCTCAAAGTGTTAGGATTACAGGCATGAACCACTGCATCTGGCCTACATATTTTTAATGTAGTCTTTGCTCCATTTTTTTCTTTCTTGACGGTTTCAGTTACAAGAGCAAGTAAACTCATTTGGGGTCAGGCTTAAGGCCACTTACGTGGGTGATTCCCAAGTGAGCCAGACCCTAAAACCTCTGTACAGCCTATGGGACTTCCCAAAAATCACAAGCAGCTACCAGAGTCATCCCGTACCCTCTTCATCACAGCACCAGGAAGCCCTGGAGCTCTCTACTGTGGCCATGGATGTAGGTAGGGTGGTCATGTGAGGCTGAGTAAGGGCCAGCCAGGGCATCTGGAAAGGAAGGGCATCAGAACGAGCAGACTCTGAACAGGTGGAGGGCATTGGAATTTGAAGAGGTTAGGTCAGGGTCATGTGACTGTGGCAAATAATTTTATGTGTCATCTTGATGGGATCACAGGGTGCCCAGAGTATGCATGATTCTGAGAGTGTCTGTGAGGTGTTTCTGGAAGAGAATTGCACATGGTCTGAGTAAAGCAGATAGCTCTCCCCAGCATGACTGGGCACCATCCTATCCTCTGAAGCCTTGAATAGGATAAAAAATGGAGGAAAAGGATTTCACCTTGTTTTTTCTTGCCTCACTGAGTTGGGATGTCACCTGCCACCTTCTCCCTGCCCTTGGACTAGAGCCACACCACTGTCTGAACTGGGTCTCCAGCCTGCAGACAGCCGACCGTAGGACACCTAGCCATAGGTCACATGAGCCAAGTCCCCATGATAGATGGTCTTCTAAATACCTATACATAAACTTCTATCTAGACTCATATAACTACATCAATATATGCATATCTCAATCTATGTCTATATATCTAAATCTATATCTATATTTATATATCTATGTCTAAATTTATGTATCTATGTCTATATCTAAATCTGTCACATATATGTCAAACTCTATACTTATTAATATTTAAATCAACATCTATATATTTAAATCAACATCTATATATCTCTACATTAAATTAATATTTAAATCAACATCTACATATCTCTACATTAATATCTATATTCATATCTAAACATATCTATATATCTATCTACATTTATATCTATAGATCTAAATCAGTATCTCTACTCCTATATATCTGTATCTAACCTATCTCTATCTCTATATTTATATCAAATCTATCTATATCTATATTGTCTCTATCTCTATCTATACAGAGAGCCATCAGGTTCTGGTTCTCTGGAGAACCCTGTCTCATATGACAACTAGCCCACGGAGGGCCTGGGGCAGGGGCCAGCCTCTGGTGGAGTCTCGCCTGCCAGCGTGAATTTGGGCTTTGTCTCACAGACATAACTTATCTTCTCTGACCTCAGCTTACTCATCTGTAAAACATGGATGAAAGTTTCCATTCCATAGCCACCGTGAGGCCTGAAGGAGACATTGGAAGCCCTGTGTACCCAACTGATCTCTCAGAAACAAGGGCTGGTGCATATCTTTGTCCAGTGGGACTTCTGGGCTCAGTGCATCTTAGAGGCCTGTGAACAGTGACAGGCTGCTCCAGAGTCATACTCTCAGCCCTCAGCTACCAAGGCCATGCCCACCTGTGAGGGCTGGCCTGGGATCTGCTTCCATCTCTCTGTGTCTGTTCCTGTGGAGACAGGCTTGGGCTCCACTTCGTCATTTTGAAAGCTGATGGCATAGCCATTCCCATTGACTCTGGGGGTGTTCTGTGTCCAGCAGTGATAGAGATGGTGTGGAGAGACGGTGCTCAGTCCCACTTACCTGTGTGTGTCAGAGTACAGGGACAAAGTGATTGCCTGCCTGTGTGTGTCAGAGTGCAGAGAACACAGCAATGGCTACTTATGTAGAAGCGGTGGGTCTTTCACC